AATAGACCGTTGTTATGTTGAGCTCGTACCGTACTCTTAATATTGATTGTACTACAATAAATCAGCTAATTACTTATAAATACAGTAGTCTTGTTAATTAAGAAAGACCAAACAAGACAACAGTATTAATAACGAGTTCACACAACATACAGATTTCGAGATAATTGCAATGACGACTTCGCCCCGGTCTCCCCTACGTCCTGAGAATTTCTGAAAAATAATATACTACTAGAGATGTTATAGAAATGTTTGAAGTATATTATATACGGTACGTATATTTACAGTACAAGTATAGAACATTCGAATGATATTATGTGCTGTATGGGTCGATAACCCCAAGTCCTTGTAAGTCCCCTTGTAAGTTACTTTTAACATGTAAAAATATTAACGTATAAAAAATATTAAAAACAAGATGATTTTTCTTTTATAGAGAACGCTTTTTTTCGATGAGATTAGAGAACGCAGTTCCCAGGATCAGCCAAACCTGCATATAACATAATCAAGTATTACCGAAAAAACATAAAAGTTTCTGAAATCGGAAAGACGCTTAGTTCCAGAATAAAACGTATGGGAAAAATTGCAAAAAACCCATTGAGCATATAGCAGCAAAACATAAGAAAAAAAAGGAAAAGGAAAAGTGGATTATGGAAGGTAAAAATAGAAATAATATATAAATAAATAAGTGAGCAGAAAATATGTGAATGTAGTCAAAAATTAAGATCTGATCTGATGATTCAAAACCCGAATCAATGGAGGCCCAAAATTTAATTTGCGGGTAAATACAATGGCTTCTGTTTTTTGCGGGTTGATTGACATTTTCCATTCTGAAAAGAAGCGAACAATGTCATCAATGTAACATTGCAATCTTGACGCGAGTAGAGCTGCGCTCCACGAAGATGTGTACACATTTGTATCATCGGCATAAACTGCAAGACTTGTATTAGGATGTTTAGGCAAATCATTGATGTGGACATTGAACAAGATCGGGCCCAAGATAGACCCATGGGGGACACCCATTAAGATATCAAAAAGAGGAGAGAGTTCTCCCTGAAAAGAGACCAGAAACGATCGCCCCACAAGGTAACTACTAAGCAATTTAACAATAAAAGTAGGCAAACCAATTGAATTTAATTTATATAGCAAATCGGCATGCCATACCGAGTCAAAAGTTTTTTGCAAGTCCAATAAAACCATGGCCGAACTCCGATTCTTGTTTAACTCCATGGAGAAGTATTCCGAGACTCTAAGCAATTGCAAAACAGTAGAGTGGCCTCTCCTAAATCTAAATTGTTCATTAATAATAATATTGTTACTATTCAAAAAAGAATTGATCTGAAAGCAAAATAATTTTTTCAAAAACCTTGCTAAAAGAGCTCAGCAGGCTAATTGGTCTGTAGTTTGAAGGCGAAGATTGAGATTTGCCTGGTTTAGAAAAAGCCAATATTAATGCAGTTTTCCAGACTTTGGGAAAATAAAATAATTTAAATGAGGCTTTAAAAATATAATAAAGTTGCAGAATAATCTTAAAAGCAGATTTTTTAAGCATGATATTAGTGATCTTATCCTTGCCAGGAGCTTTATTATTCGGCAATTTATTAATTACAAAGGCAACCAAGTTCGGAGTTAAATAACTCAAATCCACAGGAGGATTTGATTCATCCAGAGACATAATGAAATATTTCACCTTCGTATCATGCGGGAAGGCAAGACTTAAAGATGACGAAAAATTTGAATAAAAACTCTTTGCAAGCGCCGCTGACTTATCAGCCGGGTCGTAGATAATACTTTGATCCTCCAAAATAAACGGAGGTGCAGGAACGCTTATTCGCTTTCGGAATCTTAATGTATTCCAAAGAGACTTATCTTTAATATTAACATCTTTAAGTTTATTAAACCAATAAGCATCCCTAACCTCCTGTAGAAGATTTTTGATATGTGAATTCAAAATGTTGCGAAAGATTTTATAGCGTGAAAAACCCGTTCTCTCTGATATTTCCTGTGGAAATAATTACGAAGTTTAACCAAGAAATCATGTCGCTCGGAATATAATGGATCTAAGGAATGATAATGATATCCAAATTTATTAATAGTTGAGGCTGATTTAAGGGATCTATGTAAAAACTTCTGAAGTTCCTCAATACATGAATCTACATCATCATCACTCCTGAGATCAAAATTAATTTTCCATTTATTAGTTGCCTCTCTAAAGCTTTCCCAATCAGTTTTATAATATGTTTTGTCTTTTTTAATTACAGAAGTATTTTCCAGGTCTAAAATTATAGGAAAATGATTAGAGGATAAGTCCTCCATCGTATAGCAATTATTATCAAAAGAAATATTCTTAGCCAGGAAGATATCAATATTAGAAGGGTTTCTACGCGGAATTTTGTGAAAAAAGGTGGAACTATAAATAATAGAAATATTAGATTTATTTAAATAATTGTATAAATACACCCCTCTCGTATTATTAGAAAAATTATTCCAAAGTCTATGCTTAGCATTAAAATCTCCGCCAATGATCACTCTTAAATAAGCATCAAAAAAAGCATTTAAAGAATCAAAGGAAAAATCAGATTTAGGAGAGGCATACGCAACACCTACCGTAAATCTCAGACCCGCACAGACCTCGACCAGGAGTAACTCACAGCCCTGCAAAATGCAGGGAGGTAAAACGACATATTTAATTGACCTGCTGATAATAATCGCCAGTCCCACTGCAATAACCTTGTCGGAATCCTGGCGAACAACATCATAGCCAGCGAAAAAAAAATTAAAATTTGGGTGCACCCATGTTTCACTGACTAAAGCGATATCAATTTTATTGTCAGCCAAAAATTGACCCAGCTCCAGCACTTTATTCTTAAGACTTGTGGCATTCCACAAGCACAATTTAAGATTTGTTAACATTTGCGAGTTGAAGGCTAATAAATTAAATCAGCTGCCTCAATGAAAGCTTGCAGTTTACTAAGACCATTGTTACAAGAGGCAAGTTACAAGATTAATATTAAGTTGTTTGATAACACTGAGCATGTCCGGAATATCAACCAACTGCCTCAGCTTACTAATTTCCGAAAACAAGTTATTAACGTTGTCAATATCTTCCGATCTATTATTTCTGTTTACATTTGTAACCGCTTCCGCATAAGATCTAGCAGGCGATCTCATACGAACAGATGTTGTTTGTTTACTGTAAGGATGAGAAGTAACCGGAGCCGAATTCAAATTTAGCTGACTATTGGAGACAAAACTACGGTTAGGATTAGAGGCTACTTTTGCGTGCAAGCGCTCCGGATCATGCAAAAAATTTGATAAAGCGTGCGAAGCAGGTTTGACAGATCTTTTCTCCAAGAATTTTAAATAAGCAGAACATTGAGTGAAACTAGCCGGGTGATCTTCTTGGCAGTTACAACATTTAGCCGGAATGTCAGGAGAGTTTTTACATTCCGTGGTTAAATGATCCGCAGCACACTTGACACAGCGAGGTGACTTGAAACAGTTAGTTGACGTGTGTCCAAAAACTTGACATCGATAACACTGCAGAATCTTCTTGGTGTTGATGAATTTGTCCCAGTAGATCCGCGAATTGAATAAAAATCTGATTCTTCTTAAATGTGAAAGCGTATATTTGGCACTGAGATTGATTTTGAAAATAGCATATAAGCTTTTTTCTGCATTAATATAAGTGCATGAGTTAATAATAATGCCAGCGTCCTTCAATTCTTCTTTGATAGATAAATTTGGGATGTTAAGCAATCCTTTAAGTGTGACCGTGATACTCTTCTCTTCAGGCAATGAATACGTGTAAAAAGATAAATTTTTTGCAATGGCAAATTTATTAAAATCGGTAAAATCTTCGAGCTTATTAAACTGTAACTTAACTTGATTCCCGAGAAATTTCAAATGAAAATTGTCACCAATATCTTTCTTCAACGATGTGGACAGAGTTTGAAAGTCCTGAGGTCTTTGATTTAAATAGATAGGCGGTGGACGTCTTTCACGACTGTTCACAGAGGCCAAAGGAGAACAAGGCGCATCACTGGCGCGATCCCGTCGCCCATCCACGCTAGTTTCACCAAAAGGGCTAATTTTCTTGCGAGCTCATCTGACGTTAGCAGAAGTATCGCAGGGTTCCTCATGCATATCATGCATATCCAGAGATGTAGCAAGGCATTGAAAACGATTATTAGAACTAAAATTACTTTGTACAGTAGCGACTTCCTCAATGCGAGGTACCTTGTCTAGAACGTGAGTAGCAGCGTCATCAAAGCGAGGCTGTTTGTCAGTATGACCGGAAACGGATGCTCCGACCAGATGGTCAGATGCAAGTCGCTTTACAGCCGTCTTGTTGGTATTTTTGCCCTCCGAGTTAGAGGGACGTCCACTGTCATCGTCGTTTTCGGTGAAAAACTC